TAAATTTCCTATCACTGTTGGGTTACACCAAGGATCTACCTTAAGCCTTTATCTTTTTGCTTTAGTTATGGATGAGTTAACGAAAAATATTCAGGATAACATGCCATGGTGTATGCTTTTTGCAGACGATATCGTGCTAGTAGATGAGACTAGAGAAGAAGTTAACACAAAGTTGGAGATTTGGAGAAAAGCTCTTGAATCGAAAGGATTCTGGATAAGCAAAACTAAGACAGAGTACATGGAGTGTAAATTTAGTAACAGTAACAATAACAATGAAAGCAGAGGAAAAGTGAAGATTGAGAACCAAGAACTGCCTAAGAGTGAACATATTCGTTATTTAAGGTCGATTATCACAACAGCGGGGGAGATTGATGCGGATGTGGCCCATAGGATTAAGGCGGGATGGTGTAATTGGAGAAGTGCGTCTGGGATACTATGCGATAAATGAATATCCACTAGACTAAAAGGCAAGTTCTATAGAATGGCTATTAGACTAGCGATGTTGTATAGGACGGAGTGTTGGGCAACCAAGAAACAATATGTAGATAAGATGAGTGTGGCTGAGGTGAGGATGCTAAGGTGGATGTGTGGCAAGACTAGACAAGACAAAATTAGAAATTAATGAGTGTATTCGGAAATGGGTAGGAGTAGCACCGATAGAAGATAAGTTAAGGGAAAATCGATTGAGATGGTTTGGTCACATTCAATGGAGACCAACAGAGGCAATAGTGAAGAGATGCGATGCTGTAACAGTATAGGAGAGTGTTAGGGGACGGGGTAGGCCTAGATTAACGTTGGCTAACATTCTAAATAGAGATATGGATCTACTTAATTTAACTAACGAAATAGCCTTTGATAGGGCCGCGTGGAGAAGAAAGATTCATGTAGCCGACCCCATTTGATGGGACTCAAAGCTTGGTTTGGTTTGGTTTACAAGTTCTCATGGATCCCATACTGATTCTAGTGGTTCTCGTGGTGGTGGTGGACGTGGTATTGGTGTTGTATCTCATGGTGATCGAAAATGTACTCATTGCGGTGCCTTAGGTCATTTTGAACCTTGTTGTTGGTAGAAATATGGTAAACCTGATCATGTGAATCAGGTTATGGATGCTTTATCCTCTTAGTCGACTTCAGTTCCCTCTGAACCAGGTGCTTCCCCAGCTGATTTTTATGATGCACTCACCACCCAGATTAGGGAGCTTACTAAGATAGTCAATTCTCTTCGTACTACTTTTCCTTCATCTTCTACTGCTACATCAGCTAGCTCAGGTAATATTGCATGTATGGCTCAATCCTCTCAACCTTGGCTTTTAGACTCCGGCGCTAGTTCTAATATTTCTAGTAATTCCTCTTTTTTTCATACTTTTCGTCCTGTTACCTGTAATATTATACTCGCTGATGGATCCTTCCGACTTATTAGTGGCCAGGACACTCTTCAACCCACTCCATCTCTCTCCTTACCCTCTAGTCTTTATGTCCCGTCATTTTCTTTTAATTTGCTTTCTGTTAGTCAATTAACTAAAGTTCTACAATGTTCTGTAATCTTTTCTCCGCTTCTTGTGTTTTATAGGACCCTAGACCAAGAAGATGATTGGTTTGCGGCATGAGAAGGATGGTTTATATTTTTTGGACACTGTTAGTCCTCCTCCTTTTGGTTCTGCTGTTTTAAGTGCCACCGTGTCTCCCTTGCAATGGCATTTCCGTCTGGGTCATCCATCCTTAGCCAAGCCTAAGTTAGCTAATCCAGGTTTAAGCCATTTGTCTCAGCTTGAATGTGAAGCGTGTCAGCTCGGCAAGCATCACCGCAGTTCTTTTTCTAGTCGCAGTATTAGTCGTGTGTCAACGTCTTTTGATTTAGTCCATACCGACATATGGGGTCCCTATCGCACTCCTACTATTAATGATTTTTTTTTTTTATTTTGTTATTTTTGTGGATGATTATTCTCAGATGACTTGGTTTTTTTATTACGGCAGCGTTCTGACTTGCCCCAAATAATTTCTAAGTTTTATAATAAAACTTTTACTCAGTTTGCGAAACGCATTAAGATATTTCAGTCTGATAATGCCTTAGAATATGTGCAATCTATTGTGAATGGTTTTTGTGATGCTCGTGGTATTATCCATCAAACTAGTTGTGCTCATACATCGCAGCAAAATGGTATTGCTGAGCAGAAACACAGATATTTGCTAGATGTTGCCTAGACCTTGATGTTTAACATGCATGTTCCTAAACAATTTTCGGGTGATGTTGTGTTGACTGCCTGTTTCCTTATTAACCGCATGCCCTCCGTTGTTTTACATAATCAGTCTCCCTTCTCTCAATTATACCCTAATTGTTCTTCGTTTCCTTTTCCTCCTCGTGTTTTTAGTTGTGTGGCCTTTGTCTATGTCGTTGCTCTGTGGTTGGACAAATTAACTCCCCGTGCTCACAAATTTATTTTTGTCGGCTATTCCCGTACACAGAAAGGTTATCGGTGTCATCATCCCGAGTCTCGTCAGTTCTTTATTAGTGCCGATGTTACCTTTTTTTAGTCCACCTCTTTTTTCTCCTTATCTGGTCAGCAGTTGTCAGCGGATCTTATCTCCTGTCGTGAAGGGAAGACATCCATTCCAGTGGTTTCCGATGCCCTTTGTTCCCCCTGTCATCTTCCGTTGGTTTAGATTCTTCTTCGTCATCTCTTCTACAAGTTTATCAGCGGTCCCAAGCCTGTCGCGTGGTTTCTTATGGCCTGGCTACTTTATCTTCTATGTCCAAGGTTCCTTCCGCTTCTCTAACTGTGCCATCTGATGATGATTTACCTATTACAATGCACCAAGGTAAACGTACTTATACTCAGCATCCTATTTCTAATTTTGTTTCTTAAGCTCGTCTTTTCCTTAGTTTTCACTCCTTTGCATATAGCTTGTCTTGTCTTGTCTTTCTATTCCATCTTCTTATCAGTAGGTTATGTCGATGTCGGATTGGAAACATGTTGTGGATGAGGAGATAAGTGCTCTTCATCAGAATCAGACTTGCGAATTTACACCTCTTCCTTCTGGGAAACCTGTTGTTGGCTGTCGTTGGATTTATACAGTTAAGTATCTACCTGGTGGTGCTGTTGAGTGGCTTAAAGGCCGTCTCATGGCCAAAGGTTATACTCAAACCTATGACATTGATTATCCGGAGACCTTCTCCCCTGTGGCTAGCCTGAATTTTGTTCGGATTCTCCTCTCTGTTGCCGTTAGTTAGTCTTGGCCTTTATATTAGCTTGATATAAAGAATGCCTTTCTTCATGGCAATCTCAACAAGATCTATATGGATCAGCCCCCTGGCTATGTTGTTCCTGGTCATGAGCATATGGTTTGTCGTTTACAGAAGGCTTTGTATGGTCTTAAACAATCTCTTCGTGCTTGGTTTGATCGCTTCAGTACCCATTGTGCTTGCATATGGGTTCTGCCGTTCTACTTCTGATCACTCTGTTTTTGTTCACTAATCATCTACTGGGGTTATTGTTCTCATTGTTTATGTGGATGGCATCATCATCTCTGGAAGTAACTCCGTCAGTATTATTGATCTGAAGCTTTATTTGGATAAGCAATTTCACACAAAGGACTTGGGTAATTTGCGGTACTTTCTTCGGATTGAGATTGCTCGCTCCCTCCTCTCGAGGTTTGTTTTTTTCTCAACGTAAGTATGTTCTTGATCTTCTTGCTGAAATTGGTCTTATGGGCACTCGTCCTAGTGATATTCCTATGGACTCCTTGGTTAAACTTGATGGTGAGATTGAAGAGTTGTTTCCTGATATTGGTCAATATCGTCGTTTATTTGGGAAGTTGATTTATCTTACCATCACTCATCCAGATATCACTTATGCTGTGAATGTTGTTAGCCAATTTTTGCATGCTCCTCGTGAACCCCATTTTGATGTTGTGTTGAATCTTGCATTATCTCAAACATGCTCTAGGTCGCGGTATACTTTATCGTCCTTCTTCCTTGATTATCACTGGCTTTAGTGATGTTGATTCGGCCGATAGTCGGACTGACCGTCGTTCAACAACTGGATATTGCACCTTTGTTGGAGATAACCTTGTTACTTGGCGCAACAAGAAACAACTAGTTATTGCTCGTTCAAGTGCTAAGGCTAAGTATTGTGCTATAACGCATACCATCTCTCAGATGTTATGGGTTTATTATCTTTTGCAGGATTTTGGTATTCGTGTTCCTACTCCTATGAGCATGAACTGCGATAATCAAGCTACTATTTTCATTGCCAACAACCCCATGTTTCATGAGTGTACAAAGCATATTGAAGTTGACTGTCATTTTATACGGGATTTGTTGTTGCGTCGGCAACTTGTGGCACCATATGTTCGCTCTGATGATCAATTGGGTGATATCTTCACCAAACCACTTGCTCGTTCTTTGTTTCAGCGTCTCTCTGCCAAACTAGGCATGTTTCATCTCTATGTTCCAGCTTGAGAGGAAGTGTTAGAATATATAGTATATGTTAATTTTTGTGTTGAGTGAGGATACTATGGCTGTATTGTATTCTATATATTTGCTGATGTTTTAGGTTCATAAGAGGAATCAAGAAACATACGTTTAATAATATATATACAGTCTTCTCTTTGTTCCTTCTCTCTTTCTCTCTAGCCCTAATCAAAGTTTTGCATACTTTACACTTCAACTACTTAAAATATCGCCAATAATTTCAGATTATACAACAATTAACAACGGATTGTTGAAACAACTAAAATTTATAAGCTGAAAACGCATTAATGGTAATGGATTAATTTATTTCTGAGATACCAAAATCTACATCTAAATAGGCAGGGGAAGAAAGGCATTTTCAGTACTTTTTAACCCATGTATCATACCTACACATGGTAAACAAGAAAAAAAGATATGTATAATGGGGTATATAATATATATATAACAGCAGAGGAATTTCCTTTATCACTCATTCGAGTTTCTTTTATCTTGTAGTTGTCATTGAGTAACAGGGGAGAGAAATGATTACCTGCAAACAAAGTTCCTCAATTGGCATCCTCTTAATTTCTGGTATTTGGAAATCAGGCATCCAAGCGGCACGAAGTTTTGAATAAAGGTGATAACAGATTCCTGGTTGGCAGCGTCCTGCACGTCCCTCTCTTTGCTTTGCACTTGCTTTTGAAACCCAAGAAGACTGAAGAGTTGATACATTATTGTAGGGGTCATAACTTTTTTCCTTCATCCGTCCACTGTCTATAACATAAACAACATCATCAATAGTGATAGCAGTCTCAGCGATGTTAGTTGAAAGAACAATTTTACGGCAACCCAGAGGGGGGCGTCTGAAAACCTTCCTTTGCTCCGCAGATGGGACCATGGAGTGAAGAGATATTATCAAAAACTTTGAACAGTCCTTGAAAAAGGGGCTAGCAAGTAATTTCTCTCTCATTTTATTTATATCATCCCACCCAGGAAGGAAAACAAGGATAGCTCCATCCTTCGAATCCATACAAATCTTTCTCAATAACTTCTCTATAAGGGCAACATCAACAAGCTCAGGATTGCTAGTGGATAAATATTTATCGAGTAATTCTTGATCTTCCTCACAGTTGGAATGGACTTTTTCCATGTGTTTTTTAATAATTTCAGAAGCTTCTCCCTGACTCTCCCGTTCAGCCCACTCTGGTGCAGTAATTCCATCACTGTCTTGTAAATGGCAGTCTGCACCAAAAGAGAGGAGCATGCAAACATCACCCACTTTGCCTTTTTTTGCAAACACCATTAGTGGTGTTACTCCACTCGATGAATGCTGGTAATTAAAAACTTTCGGAGTTCTTTCAGAAGAGACCAAATCTCGGAGGGTATCAAACTCATCATTCAACCATGCTAAATTAATAGCCTCGTCAAGGGCAATCTTGTATTCCTCTCCCAACTCAAACTCATCGACCATGGCATCTTCTGAAGCACAATCAAGGTGATTATTCTCTGTTGCTTTCAGAATTGTAAGTACATCCTCCAAGAAGAAAGTTTTGACCTGTAACAACATTATGACGAAGATCACAACGAAAATCACTAAGACCAATCGATTGGAATCAACTATAGAGGAGATGAGGAGAAACATTTACAGGATAAGTGAACCCAGGGACTCGGATAATTGGGGATCCACCAAAATATTGTGAAAATCGTTCAGCATCAAGTGTAGCACTCATTAGAACCTGTCATAAAATAATTGGTCATTAACTCCATTTAGTAGTACCAACCACAGTGTATTCATTTATCTACTCTTGGCCAGAGGACTAAGGCATGTTATCAGAATACATGGAAGAAACAGTACTAACCAGACGTAATTGAGGATATGAAGGAAGCATGTCTCTGCAGATAAATAACTAACCAATGTCAGAAAAGATATATCAATACTGTAAAAAAGGAAAAATTAATGCATAACCCAACCTCATCTTTCTCTAATGATTGGTAATACAACAGAGTGAATGCTACTTTTTTAATAAAAATCAAACACGATTCTAACAATTATTGAATGCTCATACATAAAAACACAAATTTGTCATTTATGTCACAGAGATGCACAGCTTGGACATAAGAAAAGGGACAAGAATGCATGGAGCATTCCTAAAACATTATATAAACATGTTAGGATTTACTTAAGTATTAAATTGGTGTTTCATTTAAGGTAGAATGTTGCTTGACATATTTATTTATGATTTATGAGGAGAGTTAGGAGGATTTTAGTAATTTTGCAAGTTGCTGGACATGGCTATAGGGATCGCCCATGGAACACATTCTGGGTCAAACACAGTTTTCAGGTTTCTTGATATTGCATTTAACAAGTCTAGAATATTCTACTTGGTAAAGATTCACTAGTTTCTTATTTGCGAGTCAAAGTTCCAGTAGAAATGAAAGTCCAACAGCCTATAAATATACATGTAAACGATCTTTTCAAAATAGTGTTGACATTTTGAGAACTTACCAGAGGCTTGTGAAGCATTGTTTGATGCATTATATAGCCTTACTTTAGGGCGTAATTCCTAACGAATCCTAGGTGGGATTGCTAGATTCTTCTTCTCCCTCGTCTTCTCCTCCACAAAGTAATTATACTTGGGTTGCTGTTTAAAGTCACAGATCAGGCCCTAAACTCCCTTAACCAAGCCCACCCTACCTATTGGCCTTCAATTTATCAAATAAACCCATAACATAGTGTAGGCTCTCGATTCATGCTAATTTTGACATAGATAGAGCAACCTGCAACTTCTGAAATTGAAAGCCTTCGTCATTCTACAAACTGTAGAACGAATTCTTACTTTTCAAAATTCTAACCTTTGAATATTTCCTAACCTAAACCCACCACAAATCCAACTGCAGATAGCCTCAGGTCAGTTTTCTAAAAGTGGTCCTATGTCACGGAGTCTATATACCACATTTATCAACCAAGCAATGTACATAAGCAAGTCCACATAAAGAATAAAAAAAGATACCAAAAAGGAAGTACCTGAGAATTGCTAGCATGAAATCGGAGTAGCGATCCCTCTCATGAATTTCATCCTGTTAAGTGACAAATCATCAAAACAAAACAAGAAGTCATATATAGCATACATTTTTCAGGACTTCAAAAACATAGTTAAAAAGAAAAAATAGATACATCAATGGACTTTCAATAACCGGTTAAGAGAACATAGAACCAGCAACAGACACTTCCAAAAAATCTTTCCTAAGCCACCAATCCCACACAAACACATCCTCATGGTTAGCTTAAGATCTTGATCCCAAGCCACCTACGCAAGCATTCGGCACACCATTCTCAAAAACTTCAGTAAATGCCTTCACCAAATCCCTCCCTCTTAAACACATTCCAACAAACCTGAAGAACAACCATAGTCAAACCATCGGGTCCTGAAACCTTGTCCTTATCAAACTAAAAAAAACCAATCTAATTTCTTCCTCATCAAAATGTCTTTCCAACCAATTGGACTTATTGACCTCAATTGGAAACCAATCCAAACCCTCAATGCCAAGCCTGTCCACCCCACTCGAGGTATACAACCCAGAATAAAAAGAATTTTTTAAATTAATTATCTAATCCTCCCTCTGCATCCACTACCCTTCCTGAATCAGTTTCCAACCTCTTTATCAACTGCTTCTCCCTTTTCCCATATGCCACCCTATGGAATAGTTTGGTATTATTATCCTCTGCCTCTGACCATCTAATTTTCTTTTTTTTACCCCAAATATTTGCTCCCTTAACACCCAATTTGCAAACTTAATCTTTAACTCCGATCTTTCCTTCCTAGGAGACTCATCTAGAACCCCCCTTAACTAAAAATATCCAACTCCTCAATTCTACTTAAAATCACATCTTCAATCACCCTCAAATCCCCAAAAAATCCCCTATTCTACACTTTTAACCAAACCTTCACTAACTTGAGCTTCATAAACTTGAAGCCCTCTCACCCACTAACCCTACATCCCTCTCACCACTCCTCAAAATACTTCTTAAAAGATTGATGGACCAACCGCTTATTTTCAAAATCTAAAAGGGGGTAGACCCCCATTTAAAGGGACAACTCACTACTTCAGAATTTGAATATAAAGATTAATATTAAAAATATGGAATAGTTATTAGAAGCAACAGATATTATCAGACAAGGGACCAATTTAAACAAATCTATGTTCAGGACTAAGGAGCTATCAGAATCATCAACAATAAATATAATGGAAGACAAGTCAGCATTGTAATGCAATGAATGTAACAGAACAAACCCTAGATTGGACAATACAACACAATATTCAAGAGCAAATAATTAAAAAAATCGCACGTCAAGTTAGAATAAGATGAATACCACAATAATGTGAGTTAAGTCAGAAACAGCATCCTTTGCCAGTCTTTTTGAAGATTCTGCTTTCAACCTTTCAGTGCCTTTAGAAACCAGCACCCTCAACAGAACCCCATTAGTGCAAAACACAACGGATGAGTTCTTCCCACCTTTGGTCTCCAAACGTATCTGGGTTTGCAACAAAGCTAAGTCAGTAATAATAAGATATATAGCTTTAGAATAATGGATGGTAAATGAAAACCAGAACCATTAGAAACAACTTGTTTCACTTGTATAGTATTGGAACAACTGTTCCAACACGGCATGAGAAAATACCACTTGTGAAACAACTTATAATTGCTATATACGATTGTCCATAATTATGAAATTAGAGGATCTACATACACACGCAGAGACATACATATTTGTTTTGCATGCTTTTCAAAAACATGACTATTACTACCAAGTACCAATTCTGATGTCACACTAAGAAGAAGAAGAGAAGAAGAATAACTAGAGAAGAAGAGACAATAAAGGAGAAAGCAAAAACAGAATATCAACTCAATATTCAATCAATGCCAAAGTAACAATCTCCAAACCTATTACACATATTTATAGGAATCCTAGGAAACTCCAATAAAAGTTACCAAAGTTTTTTTTATTTTAAATAATTGAATCCTAATAAACAATAAAATCTAAACCCAAATAAAACAACTAACTTTTGTATCCAAATCAAGTGGGGTCGGCCACATGAATTATTTTTCATCATTTTGCTCTATCAAAGGGCTATTTGCTTAGTTAAATTAAAAAAATCATATTATTTTTTCCTATTGCATCCCAAGTAAGTTTAGGCATTTCCCACCCCTTAACATTTCCATTTATATAGTAGTCATATAACCCTTTCCTCTCCACTGCATCTATCGGTCTTTGTTGTACATGACAATCTTAGCATGTTCTTTCCCAACTTATCTTCAATTAGTGCTACTCCTACCACCATTTCACGAATATATTCATTTCTAATTCCATCTTTCAGTCTTATCACACACTCATTTGAGCATCTTCATCTCAGCTACGTTTATTTTATGAATGTGTTGTTTTTTAGTTGCCCAACGTTTAGTGTCGTTGGGTTCGGTCAAAAAATTCCTTTATATTCCTCTCCTCGTAGGCTTTCTAAATGTTTTTCATTTAACTTAATTTCCTTTTAACCTCCTTATTGGCAAACTTATATCTCCTGATTTTTTTATAATTTTTATCCTTTTGCCACTTTTTAAATCCTCAAGCATCATCATGTGCCTTCACACTCCCCATCACCTATGTGTGAGTGATAAGGGACAGGCTTTGAATAAATCTCAGGTGTTGTAACTGGAGAATTGGCTCCATATTAAACAAACATTTGTAAGAGAAGTGGATGTAGTGGAGAAACCGGTGTAGTGAGAGGCACCTCATCGACAAGTGGATGTAGGTTTGTGGTTGAGTTGAACCACTATAAATTATTTGCATGTTTGTTACCTCTATTTCTTCTCTTTATTGCCTTGTGGTTTGTGTTAGGCTTCAAGGGGAACACTGGCAGATCCTTTTCTGAAGAAAAATCCAAATCAACCCCTCTCTCTTGGTTGTCTTTTCAAGTCACTATCTTGATAGCAAGCCTTTGAATAAGAAGCTATCACAGTTATTTTCCACTAATTATAGAAGCCTATCATACCTTTTCGGATAAAAGACAGCTTAGTCCCTAAAGTATGCATTCTTTTTCATTTTAGTCCCTTAAGTTTCATTTTTTTCATTTTGGTCTTCAAAGTTGTCAATTTGAGTCAATTTGGTCCTAGCTCTAACATCCGTTTGCATTGATAACGGGAACAGTACGAATAAAAGACAGTTTTAGTCCCTCAAGTATGCGTTCCTTGTCATTTTAGTCCTTAGGTTTTAATTTTTGTCAATTTGGTCCTAACTCCAATCATTTTATGCAACATGTCTATTTACCTTGAATATATACCTTCTTGTACTGTACACACAACAATCTAAATTACTTTTTTAAAATCATCCAAAGGCTAATAATTTATATGTATATACTATTTTGATATATTTATATATATAATTCGGGTTTCGAGTTCTTAGGTTGTTTGATGTCTTTTGCACAAGTTCGCCTAAATTTAATTTAGGCTTTTGAATTTTTGTCCAAGCCCGTATCGAAATCAAAAATATTTTGTCCAAGCCCTTAAAAAAAGTTGGGCAAGGCTCGGGTTGCTCAGGTTGACCTTGCCAAAGTTGTACTCGTAATGTCGACAGACGTTAGGTAGGATCAAATTGACAATTTTGAGGACAAAAATGACAAAAAATTAAAACTTAAGGGACTAAAATGACAAAGAACGCATACTTTAGGGACTAAAACTGTCTTTTATCTATGTTCCCGTTATCAATTTAGACGAATGTAAGAGATAGAGCCAAATTGACTCAAATTGATAACATTGAGGACCAAAATGACAAAATTGAAATTTAAGGGACTAAAATGACAAATAACACATACTTTAGGGACTAAAACTGTCTTTTATCCTAAATTTTCTTTCTTGGTGTGAATCAGATGAAGAATAGAGAACCTTTGTCTGTCCCTAGCACGCTTTGCAACCTCTTTACCCCCTCCGGTTTCTCTTTTCTTCTTACAATCTTCCTTCTCCACTTAGATTAGAAGTAGTTTCCAAACAAATTGTCAACTATTGACAAAAAAAATATTCCAATACAAATGCAACCAGTAATTATTTCCTCAATTAGGAATGATTGCAAAGTACATAACATGGAACTTCTTTCTCTAGGCAAGCACAGAAACCATTAGTTGCTTCACTAGAGGTTGCAATGGAGCAAAAAAACGTTTCATTAAAATTGTTTCAAAATTTTAATTTTGGTTAAATCTCTTATGTGATCAACTGTTGACTGAATGTATCAAAAAACTCCCATCATAAAGTTCTTCTCAATATTCAATTTTATGCAAGAGAAGTAGAAACTGGTAAAATAGATAAACATAAATCATAAAAAGGGTCAATCCAGTGCACAAGATTCCCACAAAAGCGGAGTCTCCAACAAGATGTATGAATTTATTGCTATAACCCGAGACCTAGTCAAATCTACTAAAAAGTAAATGAATTTATTGCTATATGAAAATAGCAATCATACAAGTAACAGTACCGATCATAGATATTACCTTATATCCCACACTATCTCCAACATTTTCGCCTCTTTCACGAGAGATTCTTTCAGCAACTACACATTAAAAATAAATAAATAGATAAATAATATTTATTATTTGAATGCAGCTGAAAGTGAGAGAAAAAGGGAAGCAGAAAGCAAGAACAAAGATATTCATAGACATAAACAGCTGGAATGCACCTGATGTTGCTGAGATTCGCCGTGGTTGAGTGCAGACTATTTTGCATGCCTCACCCTTGCCCCACATGTAATCCAAAAGAAACTGCGGGACCTGAATCATATTGATAAGGTTAAGTCAAGTGCCACGCATAATAATATTTGCGACATGTTCAAAAAAAGTTAAAGTTAATACAATACCAAGTACATCAAAGAAAATTTTGCAATATGAAAAATCAAATGCTTTTTGGCTGTGGTTCATAACTAACATATTAGAGCAGCAATGGAAGATCACTGTCACGCATCAAAAGAATTCCATCCAAGCTGTCAAAATTTAATACGAAAGTACAAAATGGAAAATTTGTATTCCCTTTACACACATACACGCAAGCACTCTACACATAAGAGAACGGTTATCACTTTGCTTGGTTCCCATTTTTTAAAAACAATTTTCAGAAAATTCTACACTCTTATTTTACGTGTTTTGTTGTTTTTACTGAATTTTTTAAATATTTTATGCAAATTTTTTACTTTTTAGACACACCTAACATAAATACACCTAAAAAGTAAAAAAATTGTAAAAAAAATCTTTTAAAAATTCACTAAAATATTTAGTACATTTTCTGTATTTTTATGTATTTCTTAATTTTTTAAAATATTTTTTCACAATTTTTTTACTTTTTAGACACATCTAAGTAAGGTGCATCTAAAAAAGTAAAAAAAATGTTTAAAAATTTAAAAATATTCAATAAAAACAAAAAAACACGAAAATCAAACTAAGTTTTCAAAAAACTTAATCCAGAAAACTCAAACCAAACATAGTGTATAATATTGGCTTGACCGTTCTAAACCTGCTCTGATACCATGTAAAATAAACTGTTGTATTATTGATTTATTGATATGTTATATTACAAATCAGAGTGGCTCATTATATAGGAGAGGGTTTGGGTAGTAGGTGAGGAGTAGGTGAGGGTAAATTGGTGGTAGGTGTAGTAGGTGTGGTAGTAGGTGGTGGTAGGTGTAGGTAAACTCTAACAATTTTTTTCTTGAACCAGTACGGGTAATGGATAGTAAAATGGAACCAAACAAAGCAGCACAAGAAGAAAAACTTCATTCTAAGAATTATATATATATATAAAGTGCTCAATTAGTACACATTAAATTCTAAGAATTACATGCAGGATTAAAAATGGTAAAAAACATTAAATGCAGGAGTAAGAATAGTAAAAACCATTTGTAGAAGCAAAGTCAGTTAGATGGCAAATACCAAATAACAACATCAGATTGTGAAAAAAAAGAAAAAAAAAACTTCCAAAGGGAGATTCATGAGCAATAGGCATTACCCAAAAGGATAAAATTAAAAAATAAAAATTGGCTCTGCTTTTTAAATAAAACAAAAAGGAACCCTCCACAGAAAGTTCTTGTTGAGGGTTTCTAACCTGCCGACCAGAAAGCACGGGACAGGTCCATAAGGGTCCATGACTGTGTTAGACTTGTTGGGCATAAAGATGCATCAGATTCAGCAAAAGCAGACATGTCTTAATTTTAAATTTTAGAACTTGGAAGATTTGGATCACATTAGGGACACAGGACACTAAACCAACTCATTCCAGATATGGCAGGCTTCCAAATGTAATTTTCGACTCTAAAAAACATAGTCAGTTTGTCCAAAAAAAAACTTTTTATTGAAACAGATCATGAAGCCCAAAACTGGACAAAACAAACAAGGGAAAACAGAAACTGAACAGTAGCACAGGGATTGGCTTTAGAGAGATTGAATGAGGCAAAGGGGTAGCCCTAAGAGATGCAATATATAATCAAGGAGTAACTAGATAATTGTCATGCGATAAACAAAACTTGGCAGCTGGCCAAAGATCCTCAGCTAGTGTATTTCCTGTCAATCAAAGCCTTACAGTCAAGCTTACAACCAAGGTTTCTCTAATATTTAATCCCATTAGCAATTTTCTTAGTGCAAAAGAGTATACTATTCCCCTTGAAAATTATCCTGACCACATTATAATGGCCATCAGATTTAACTAATAGCATCTTAACACCCTACCGAACTAATTTATTTCAATAATGCCCATTGCAAGATGGAGATTTGGTTAGCAACAAGTCCAACAACTGTATTTTCTTAAAGGACAAATAATTTTTAGGTAGTAAGTAATCCTTGCCTTTTAAGCCCACCCAACTAACTACCACAAACCAAGGTTCAGGTTTGGAAGTTCAGCACTAAAAATGAGTGTTACCATAACTTCACTTTGCCCAAAACCAGTTATTTTCATCTCTAAGTTGGTAACCTATTTGATGACACTTAATTCAGAGTGAAACTTTAAATCTCCGGCATTGAAGAGTTCGTAATCTTTCAAAAGAATTGGGCTGCCATTCTACGTAATTTGATACAATAAAATTAATTGTGGTAAAAAAAACCCCAATATAAACTAATTAGATCCTTTCAGGAAACCTTCTAACTGCATGGTGTAATCTTATTTCCATTCTACCAGTCGAAATTAAAGCATCATATAGAAGAGAGAAAATAAAATTGCCATGCACAGTCGTAATACGTTTACACTGGCTGTGAAGATAACTAAGAACAATATCTTTTTGTCAAGTAATGTTGAATGCTTCTCATTGATTTTTGGGATGTGGCTTTAATAGGAAGGCACATGATCTTCATGGATGTGTAGGGTGTGTTTGGTTTGTGTTTGTAGAGTAGTTTTTGAGATAAAAAGAACGAAAACTTATTTGGTTCACCTTTTTTCAGAAATAGTTTTGGAAATTTGTTTTGGGAAGAGAGTTTTAAAAAAAGTGATTGATTTGATGTGTATGAGAGAGAGAGTGTGATTTTGGAAAGTAGGCAACCAAACAAAATTTTAAAATTTTTTTTGGAAAAATTTATTATTACTCTTGAAAATTTGTTTGTAGATAATTTTTCCCAAAAATTTTTCTGAGAAACAAACCAAACAAGGCCGTAGTTTTTGTGGTGCTTTGGGTTCTATAATTAGAAAAAAATGCAATGATTTTTTAGGATAACATAGAAGATAAAGGGGGTTTGTGGGATAAAATTTGTTGCTGGACATCTTTTTGGGTTTTGGCATTTTATCCCTTTTAAGGGGATACTGTTGTTTTCTATTAGTAAAGGATGGAGAGTGGTGGGTGACATGCAATTTTGCTTTTTATTTTTCTTTTATTGGTGGACTATGTGTTCTACATTGTACTCTTTGTGGTTCTTCTTTCTCATTAATAAAAAATTTGTTGCTTATCAAGAGAGAGAGAGAAATGTTAACCTGTGTTGTTTTTCCACATCCAGTCTCGCCAGATATAAGCACTACCTGGTTCCAGTATTTTCAACACATAGTAAGTCCATAAGAAGTGATAGAAAACAGATGGATAAAAATCACAGGTCAAAGGCATCCACATGATAGGTACCAAAAATAAAGGTCTAATATCACCAGATATCTTGTTAAATTAGCAAGCAGCAATATACATTGTAAATTAAAAATCATTAGCAGGTGGCAACCATGTTCGCCACCTCAGTCTCAAAGAAAGCCTTGTCCCAGCTCCATAGAGACTACTATACAATACCCTTTTTTTAAATAAATAATTAATTAATTAAGACACCAGACCTCAATCCTCCTTTTTTGGGTCAAAAAACAAAAGGGTTAATTACACGGACCCTTCCTGAATTTTCTGGCAATTACAGAGACCTCCTTGAGGTTTCTAAAATAACACTAACCTCCCCTGTCAGAGTTGTCATGCTAGCAGTGTCAAATACCCTTCATTTTAGAAAACACAAGTGTTAAAATATTCGATCTTACCACAAAAAATAACTCCCCAACCATATTCTTCACCACCACGAGCAAACATCCCTCTTCCCCAGCTATGGTCTCCCACCCAGAGCACCAACACCTCCACAGTATATTATCACCTTCTTTTTCATCTATTTTTCCCGTTATAAATTATTTCTTTGTCTATACTTATATACAGACTTTCTCATATTTTCTCTTGAAATTAAACCTAGTTGACTTCTCTCTCTAAAAACTAAATCCAATTTCAACAACAAATAATGTGGGTTTTCTAGGAGCAACTCAAAGCAACAATGATATATATATAGATTTATCTTTCCCATACTCTCTTTATGAATTAAACTCATTTGATTTTCTCTCTGTAAATTAAACCCAGCTTAATTTGTGTGTTCTGGGTTCACTTTATTGATCATGAAGCATATGCAAGTCTCTCAGTCATTTCATCATAAACCTTGCAAGATTGAATTCTTTTCTTCTTCTTTTTTTGCACTGTTGCATACATAGGTCGCAGATATGGGTTAGTATAGTTGCTTCAGATGGGTTTAACTTTAGAGAGAGAAGTTGAAAGTTTTGGAGAGAGAAAATGGATTGAAACTTCAAAATAAAAAATAAAAAAAAGGAATACAAATCAAATGAAGGGGAAAGAAAGACGATAATAGCACTCATCAACTACATTTTCAATGTTCCTCCAGCATGTCTTTCACAATTCATCCCTTCAATGCGAAACCGAAACCAACACGCATCACTATCACTAGGGGTGACTCTACATGTAAGGGTGGGTGTTCAATTGAACACCCTGGAATTATTTATTTATTTATATATATATGTAATTCAACCCAAAGCTTTTATGTTGAACACCCTAACCTTTTTTCTTGAACTCCTAACCCAATTGAACACCCACTACAGCCCACTTTCTTGTACAGCCAACCCATCCCATAATCCTTTAATCAATATATATGCTTTGTGAAGTAAACACACAATATGTTTTGCTTCCTCAGCCTATGCAAAGTACTTATTTGACAAAATTGTGTGATTTTGCAATTCTCAACAAATGTACCACTTGAATGTTAATGATGATCAGTAGTTTTATAGTTTATGTCAATTTGAATTGAAGGAGCTTTCTTCAATTTTTTTTTTTATTTTTTATTTTTATCATGCTAGTGATAAAAACAAAATATATTTATGTAAATTTTTGTATCTACATTTCATTTTTTGAAACATCGATATCCATATATTTATAATTTTATTTTATTTGTGTGATTTGGAAAGTCTAAAAAAATTAAATTTTTGAATGTCTATTTTGAAAAAAATTCCTGGAGTACCAACTGTGAACACCTTGAAAAAAATTCCTGGAGTCACCACGGACTATCGCCCCATCTGCATTGGTCGACAAACTACTGTTGGGGTCGTCATCAAAGCCGAGGCTAATTGCTCATCACATCCCCATGAAATGATCAGTTGTACCAGAGTAGGGAAATGTGGGTTGGAGGAGGCTAGCAGGGTGGTGGAAGGGGCATACGTGACGCAGAAGGAAGTCGGGGTTGGAGGAAAGGAACGGGGGCATAAGGAGGCAGTTAGGAGTGGTGGAAGGGGTTGAGAGAGGTGGAGAAGAATGGTGTGCCGATTGTTTTATAGAAAAAAATAAAAAATGAGGAATAAGAGAGGAAGAAGAGGTTGCGGTGGTCACCCGAGACCATGAGTGATCGTAGCTATGAATGAAAAAGGATTACTACATCTGATTATGCTGGGGCAGGGTAAGGATTCAGTGTTGCAATGTTATGCTCCAATAAGTAAATTATATTTGACTAGTGTGAGTTCTTCCAACATATTTTGACTTGAACATGGGCATAATTGCCATTTTAAAATTTTTAAGTGATGACATCATACTTTTCCATCTTAGCCATTGATGCCATGTTAACTTTGGATTTTTTTTTTTTTTTTGTTGCGGTTAAAAATTCGTAGTATATTGTCAGGTAAAGTAAGGAAGGGCAATGTAATTTCAAAAAATACAGGGGAAGTCCTTGTAATTGTCAAAAACCTTATGGGAGGGTCCACGTAAATAACCCAAAATAAAAAATCATGATTAACATCATTAAACCCTTTGCTATGGCAACACTAAGACCTTAAGGGAGGTCTATTTATTTGATATTTTCTTTTAAGAAAGAAACATGCTTTTTTCAGGCTTATGGTTATTTTCTTAGAAGATTTTGTGAATATAGCTTGATAAATTCTGTAAGAACAAACATCCCTTCCCCCCAAAAAATAATAATAAAATAAAATAAAAAATGAAAACAAACAAATAAAAGAAGAAAAGGAACAAAGAACAAATGAACACCACTAAGCAAAAGGAACATATAAAACCTGATTAGATTCTATTGTTGACATAATCACATCCCTGAACGATGCAATTGGGAGCTTAGCTCTCCCTTCAGTAATCTGTCAAGGATAAAATCACAAGAAACCATCATTCTCAAATTATTAAAAGAATATTGTAAGTTCCACCCAATCTAACTCCAATAGAAGAATAACATTTTAAAAGTATATCCAACCATGTGAATAAACATAGAACTCAAAAAATCAGTATGGTTAGTCAGCAGGACCTGTCTTAACTCTTGGGATTTTTCTAACTTAGAAGCAAATGATTCCACCTTTCTCCCGATTTCGGCCTTGTTCATAGAGGGTTTGCAAAAAATATCATCTCTTTTTTCTCGTATTTTTTCAGTTTTTCCACCATGTTTCCCAATAGTTTCCTCACCCAAATCTCGATCATCAGGAGGATATTGAGTAAATAAGTCCTGTAAAACCTCTTTTGCATCTTCCGAAAATGTAAAAGAACTGCAATTTTCCTTCCCATCCTTGGTGAAGCCATTCTTTTTAATTTTGTGCACACAAACATGCCGTTTATTCCCATTCCTACACAAGCTCAAGTCCATAAGAACTATATAGTAAACAGCAAACATATTATGACCAGCACGCCTAGAAAATTAAAAGAGGATGCTGAAAAACTAGCCTACATTATTATGAATCAATAATATAGAAAATTCTAATGTTACCATATCTATACTCACCCTTTACTTCTGGACTTCAGACCCAGCTTCCTACATAATTCATGCACCACAGCACGTTCAGCATTTGTAAGGTTGGGTTCGAAAGCATACACTGCATCAATTACAAAATTATCAAAATCACTTTTTCCAAAATAAGCAAGAATTTATAAACTAAAGGCGCCAAAAGGGAACTACCAATGAACACATGAATCTTACAAACTACATAGAGCATATAAGGGCATCTCCAATCCTTACCCTTTAACCATATCAAATTTGAATTTGAGTAAAAATGCTCAAAATCTCTCTCCACTCCTTTACTCAAACTCATACCAAATTTAGTCTTACTCAAATTTTGACCCCAATCAAGAGAGACACCGTTTTTTTACTCAAATTTCTAAATACAATTTGGGGGTGATTCTGTTTGCACACCACACTTTGTCTCACTACACACCAGTTGTGTTGTTCGGATATCAACTTCCAAACAAAATACAAATGTTCACGTATCTACTATTGAATGGGAATTTGAACATTTTACTTTTGTTCGGAAGTTTATATCAACACAAATGGTGTGTACTAAGATAAAGTTTGCTGTGCAAATAGAACTACCCAATTTGGGGTGATATAATAGCTTGTAAATTTACAGTTGTGCCAATTATCATACTTCTACTGAAATTTATACTCAACTTTGAGTTTGGCCATTGGAGTACTACAAATATAAGTAAGGGCAGGAGATGGCCCAATGCGTAGAGACCCTCTCCAGAATCGGAAAAAGACCAACATTATCAATCTGGATAATGGGTATTGTTAAGAGACGATAAAACCAAAACGATACCTAATGAATGGGCAGAGAATTACAGAAAAGAAGCAGAATCTGAATGTAAACACAGTTTCAATAAACAACGAAAAACCCATGTGCCAAATTTCCAAAATCACACAAATAAATGCAAAGAAAAATAAAATAAGTAGAAAGGAAAAAAGAAAACATCAAGAAAATACACTATTGAACTGCTAAGGACCCAAAAAAAAAAAAAAAAAAAAAAAAAAAATAAATTTGGGTTTGGGTTTGGTTGTGATTGATTGAGCGAACTTGGGCTTACTATCATCATTTGTAGAAAGAAACTGGTCGATGATTTGGGATATACGAATGCGAGTGGATTCAGCAACATTAGGGTTTTGTTCTTGTTGTTGGCCGCCTCCGCTCTTTTGTTTCTTCTTCTTCTGTGAATATGAAGATGGTGCGACTTGTAATTTCATCATCTTCGCTTCTTTTCTTTTCTTTTTTTGGGTTATATATATTCTCTCTGAATCTGCTGCTGCTGCTGCTGTTCTGCAGCTGGAAGGAAAATGAAGGGTTTGGAGATACTGCAGGATTTATGTAAGATTTGGGATATTTTTTCTGTTCTGAAAAATGATTCTTGCCTTGTTTTGCCCCTTCAATTGTCCATGCCGATGCCGTAGCTTCTATTTATCCCCATGAATTTCTATTGTTGACATAATCACATCCCTGAACGATGCAATTGGGAGCTTAGCTCTCCCTTCAGTAATCTGTCAAGGATAAAATCACAAGAAACCATCATTCTCAAATTATTAAAAGAATATTGTAAGTTCCACCCAATCTAACTCCAATAGAAGAATAACATTTTAAAAGTATATCCAACCATGTGAATAAACATAGAACTCAAAAAATCAGTATGGTTAGTCAGCAGGACCTGTCTTAACTCTTGGGATTTTTCTAACTTAGAAGCAAATGATTCCACCTTTCTCCCGATTTCGGCCTTGTTCATAGAGGGTTTGCAAAAAATATCATCTCTTTTTTCTCGTATTTTTTCAGTTTTTCCACCATGTTTCCCAATAGTTTCCTCACCCAAATCTCGATCATCAGGAGGATATTGAGTAAATAAGTCCTGTAAAACCTCTTTTGCATCTTCCGAATATATATATATATATATATATCTATATAATAAGAGAGCTCTGTTTTTCAAATCAGATGGGACATTTGTCCATTTGTCCAAATTTTGACCATTAGATTCATTTAATCTGAGGGTCAAAAACATCTCCCTCAACACACACTCTCTCAACACACACCCTCTCTCTCTCTCACAGATACGCCTCTCCTCTCTGTGTTTTCAAATTTTTTACACTCACACTCTCTCTCTCTCTCTCTCTCTTTCTCTCTCTCTACCTCCATTGGAGCCATTCTCGTGCTTCCCTGTCGAAACCCAACCCAACCCTTGCCGTGCTTTCCTGTCTTCATCTTCTCTCTACCGTCAACAGGGGTTCGTCACTGCCGGAACCGGACCGAAGTCTGTCCCCGGCCAGAGCATCACCGTCACTGTCCCCGGTTACCCCCCCTCTCTCTCTCTCTCAAGCCAATATGTATGTATTTGTGTGTATAATATATATAATTTGCATTTTGGATGTATATATATGTATACATATATATACATAGTTTGAAATGTTGAACATGGTTAATCTGAAATGTTTGGGTTTGAAATGTTTGATATGGTTAATCTGATATGATTAATTTGAAATGCTTGATGTTGAACATAATTTTGATTTATGAAATGGGTTTGATTTATGAAATGGGTTTGAAATGGGTTTGATGATTTATATTGAACATGTATGTATTTGTGTGTATTATATATATCATATATGTAATGGGTTTGAAATGTTTAATCTGATTAAACAGTGTTTGATATATGGTTAATCTGATTAAACAATGTTTGATATATTTAATGGGTTTGATGATATGTAATCTGATTAATGGGTTTGTAATCTGATTAAACAATTTGTATGTAATGAGTTTGTAATCTGATTAAACAATTTGTTTGTAATCTGATATATGTCATCTGATTAAACAATTTGTATGCAATGGGTTTGATATGTTTCATATGTTTGAAATGTTTGATGTTGAACATGTATGTATTTGTGTGTATTATATGTAATGGGTTTGAAATGTTTGATATGGGTTTGATATGTTTGAAATGTTTGATATGGTGGGTTTGATATGTTTGAAATATTTAATCTGATTAAACAATGTTTGATATATATAGATAAAAATGTATGTAATGGGTTTGATATGTTTCATATGTTTGAAATGTTTGATGTTGAACATGGTTCTGATTAAACCAAACAAGGCCATTATATTTGATTCAAACCATCAAAATATACTTATAAGTCTCAGTGAATCTCACATGGCACAACATGCTCCCCAGGTCCTCTATTATGATAGTAGTCATTGAGACAGTAAGGAGGGTGACGGAGATGATGCACGTACTGAACAGAGAAAAGGATTAGATTTTGGCAGAAACCCTGTAATTGAGGGATGGGTTTTAGGGTAGGAATGAGACACTGTTTGGCTCACTGATTGAGTGTTTTATTTATTTTGTTTTGTTTTACTTTTTTGAAAATATGTGTTGAAGTGTTTTTTTATTTATTTTTTTAATTTCTTAATAGTGTAATAGGGGAAAAAAAATACACAAATGAGACTTGCATCCCTATAACAGAATCACTTATATCTCATATGTTTGTATTTTTTTTTTTCTGTTTCACTGTTAAGTAATTCCCCCATTTTTTAAATATATGTACTATATGTAAATTATGATATTTATAAAATTAATCATTATAAATGTCATAATTGAATTCTTTTAATGTTGTACGTAAAAAAAAATCGAGTCATAATCAAATGTTACATAAGACATACATAATCAAACTAATATTATAATTAATATCACAGTAAATTTAATATAATTGGAGTACTCCCATCAAATTAAGGATTGGAGTTTGGAATTTTTCAAAAAGATTTGCTGAAAAAAAATAGTAAGGATTGGAGTACTCCTATCAAATTAAGTTTTTAACCAAGATTTCAATTGAATTTGATGAAAAAAGAGGAGGAAGGATTCGAAATATCATTTAGTTGTTGATGGATGGCAGATATTGTTCTGAAGGGGAAGAAGACAGTTGCAGATGTTATGCCAATTGCTACAGGTCATGAACGTGAAGAACTTTAGGCCGAACTCAAGGTATCCTATTGTTTATTCAGTTCAATTCATGTGTCTGATATGTATGTGTAATACCATATACATTTGATAGTTTGAGAGAGAATTGAATCTAAATTTAATCCAATTCTTTCACTTAGGGAAGGAATGTTCTGGAGATGAATTATGTCCCCAAGGTTTGAATTATTGGTGTAACGCCCTCAAAATTAACCCATTTAATATCATTGACATGCATTAATTAAAGAAGACAATTTACTAATTCATCCATCAGAGTATTACTAAATAAAGCATTACATGTAACATTGAATAAAATGCCCTACAGGCTTACATCTTTCCAAGCCAACACTTGGATACAAAAATATGAGTTCTAACTCAATACAAGAAAAAGCCCCAGGCTTGAATGTTTACATGTACTAACAACCAAAAACAAACAACTAAAAAAATAGTCTTCAGAATCCAAGTCCTTCAAAGCTAAGTCCTTGGAGGTAGCTTATCACCTGAACCTGAAAATGATGTTCCCATAAAGGGTGAGCCACAGCCCAGCAGAAATATACTAAACCACATATAAGAAAATGAATAAAGCAATAGTATTTGACAGATGGTTAACCAAGATAATCAACCACTTCATTTTACAGTCTCATGACACTATTGTCTAAAATACAATTTACTTTCCAATTTTATCAACATGGCTCAGAACCTGGCCAAACTTACAACAGTGAATTACATATACCATATTCACATCCTTCCAATATCAACAAACAAATGAGACTCAAGCTCAATTCACAACACTTCATACTTCCAGATTGATACACATTTTAGTGCTGTATCAATAAAAACACTTCAATATAATAAGCACACATAAAAGTGATGCTAATGGAGTCCAGCCCCTATCTCCTCCCAAACAAAATCCGGTTAGAGGTCCATCCCCTATCTTCCCCTAAACCGTGGAGTACATCCCCTATCTCCTCCCACACAAAACAATGTATGCAAATGCAATGCTCAATCAATACACATATTTTCTGTATTAATGCCATAGTCAAAATTAATGATTTAACCAATGTGATTAGTTTCAGTTAATCCTAATCCACATGCATTGTCTACAACAATCACGACTATCCTCCACCGATAGCCCAAAACAGTTATTTCTAAACTGGAAATAAATATAACAAATAGTTTCAAAAAATTTTACTTTTTTATTTTTCGTATTTTAATAATTTCAATGAATTTTTTTAATATTTTAAGTTTTTTTTTTTTTTTTTTTTTTAGTT